TGACGAAGTCATGGTAATCGCGTTCACAGGACACCAACTTAGAAGGTGTGGATCTGTTCCCAGGAGAACGACTTATTGACTAGAAACATACTTAATTTTGGATGTTTGTGAGTAGTGTAAGTTTGTAGAACGTAGGAGTCACGACCTGGATTCACGCACAACAACGTGCCTCGACGGGGAATCGAACCCCGGTCCGCAGACTTCCTGTCCGCCGCGCTACCACCGAGCTACCGAGGTCTGACGATTAGGTGCGCAAATTTTAATACATGACTTCTGTTTGGTGTGCGACTTATTGCCAATGAGCTCACAGTACCTGTCCTTGTGTTGCAGATTGGCTCACTCACCCGTCACTTCCCAATGGACCGAAATACCTGTCCTTCGGATGCTGACGATATTGCCCTAATCTGTGACATCTCACAAACGTGCCAAGCTGCATTGAACAGATTAGCACTAGCTGTCCGTCACTTCGGACTTTGCTTCGCACCCTCGAAGTGCAAAGCGTTCCTCCGAAATTGGCCTGGAGCGCCTTCTTCACTGACCCTTGATGGGCATCGGTTAGAAGTCGTTCAAAAATTCAACTTGTAGTCATCCACTGTCTTTATGGCCCACAATCCACTGAAATTCTCAACCACTAGTAAAAAATATGGGGTAACCACTCTCGCGAGACCGTCTACATAAATCACGAATAGACGGGGACCCAATATTGATCGCCAGGCCACTCCGCATCGAACATTTATTTGGTTGGATAGGACTCTTCAAACGTATACTTTCAGGTATCGTTGAGGGAGAAAGTTATCTATACAAACTAGGACCAGCTCACCCATTCTACGGCACTGAAGCTTATGAGGGGGAATGTGCGATTCAGACGGCTATCCGGACAATTGGCTTCGACACTCACATGCAGCAGTCTTGTCAATTGCAAGATAAACTAAAACAACTGTGATGGCAGAATCCTAAAAGGTGTTGCTCGCGAACAAAAGTGGGTCATAAAAGACAAGTAGTAGAGCACGCAGCTCGCTGATAAGATGCAACTGATATGAGTGCGTATGAAAATTTGTAATTAAATGTTAAGAGCGTGACTTTCCAAAGTTCACCGCAGTAGGTAATCAACCTACGCAGTGATGCGATCGGTATAACACGCGGTGTTGTGAAAGTGCATTGTTGAGTCACTTGGTAGATCCTGGCTAGTGTTAACGACTGCAAGTTGATGTGTGGGATACAAAATGCAGCCTGGATGATGTGTTTGTGCAATCTACACAATAGTCTTCATCACAGTCTTACCGGAATGGATAGAGTGAAAATACTAGGGGGTACTCTTTGATGCGGCAGCGCCTCACACCACTGCCGACAGGTTCGGCCAGTCTGTTGTTCGCACTGACAATCATACGACACGATTCGACTACTTCACATACGTACTTGCGAGTGGAGATCAGCACTTCAAACAAAGAAAGCTAGTGTTGGGGTGCTTCCCTAACTGACTGATTTAATGGAAGAGTTTCGGTAGCTAACCGGTAAACATCCCCAGTGCACCTACTTGCAAGCAGCCGATCCCCACCGCTGTGTTGGTTTTGTTGCTGTTGGGAGGTCAAGTACCTACTGATGCACGTTCATCGCTGACTCATCGGTGCACAGGGAATAGATAATTGGAACGCCTGCTCCTCTGCGGCTGTTTGTTGCCTGACCTGAGGTATACTGCGAACCCAATTCGCAATAGTTTGATAGCCAGTTTCAGCTCCGTGTATTGGGATTGTTGAAGTCTGCTTGGAATACCAGCGTTCTACAAATCCAACGACATCCATTTTGTGCGCTTCCGGTTGGCTTGACATCCGATACCCGGAATTTTACTGATTCACTTCATTAGTGGGTGCTAAAATCACTGCCTTATGATTAGAGCAACGGACGTCTAGAATACTTTGATAAAGTGCTGCAGCAAGATTCGATCAACCTTGAAGCACACAACCTTTGGTATGACGTATGCGTGAGATTCACCACCAAACTGGTGCAGTAAGTTGCTACTTGTGCTCGACAGTGTGTGAGTGTTTATGCTGGGAAAATAGAGCAAAAACGTGTTAGTTTTACAGAAAAAGTTCTGATGTTTAGGTACACTCCGCCTTCGAACACTACTTCTGCTAGCGTATAAGGCAGTGGTGGAGACGGTGGGGTAGTAAGTGACGTAATATTGTTGCACTGAATTTATGCTTACGAATTCGGCCAACAAACAAGGTGACAGACACTTTTTGCAACCGTACTACGCCCACTTTCGTCGGAGTGTTCAAGTTTATTTTGGAAGTATTCTGATTCAACCACACAAATTTTTGGAGGGTCTGGTATTGATCACGAAGTTACTCTCCTATGCGTCTGCTAACGGGGTGAAGAAAGTTCGATAGACGCAAAACTTCAGAAATTCACCTTGTATGCCGCCAAAGATCTCACTAATCAGCTACTGATCCACTCAAACAACAGTTGCTTCGTTCACACAGCATCCACCATAATATCGTTTTAATTTTAGCAGCACCAAGTACTACTGCGATCAGTTAGCCGTCTCTGACGCCTGTACGGACGTCGACCAACCGAAGTAGCGTTCCGTATGGTTACATGGCAATCACTTGATGGGGCTGACAAGCAGGTACGAGGCCAAGCTTGGCAGTCTTGAAAAGTTACGCCAGAAGTTTGAAATGGTGCGCCCGTGGTGGACCGCACTACACTTTAATTCGTCGAGTCAATGCTAAGCAACAGAAAGTCCGTGCGCCCACTTTTCATGGATTCGCTTGTTGAAACAGCTCCACGAACAAGCCTCACTATGCCAACCTTAATTTGCATCATTGTGAGTATCCCAGCGTTGGTTTTATAGTTTCCGTTGAGAAACTTGGTTACTGAACTTTTTTACTCGACCATCTGTGGACCAACTAATTTTGATTGGCTTTGCTGTGATGGCCTTGCACTACAGACAACCGATTCGGTCTGTTTCATTTCCATCTCAGTCTGAAATGTTAGCAACGCCTGGTCCTTCTTAATGGGTCATTATCACCAGCGTATTATTTCACACGGGACTGTTGCGCGAAACATAATGAAAACAACATAGCATGTTATAAATATGGTTTGCTCGAGTATCGTCTCCGTAGCGACACTGCTCAGCCAAGCACCTCATTTCAGTCACTCTTTACGTATCTGTGCCTCACACCCAATAGCTCCATACACACTGGCATTGCTGAGAACGTGGAACATTATGGTAATCACTTTAAACGCTTACTAAGTTGCTATGCGTTTGAAGTTTTTGCTAATCACGTTTTTTAAGCCACACCTTCTTCTCGACCTGGTTGCGATCAATTTCGTCCCTCCCAAGGTCAAAATAAATTTCGCGCAACGATCAGAATCCCTTATTCGGAAAATGCTGGATCATATATATATATATATATATATATATATATATATATATATATATATATATATATATATGTAGTGCCCCATGCTGAGGCTGATGTTGCATTCATGATGCTTCTTCACCGCAGCTGGGCTAAACCAACTTACACTTAAACTAAGTCTCTTTTTAAGCTGGATAAATTTCATTCCACTTCATTTGATTTGTTCCGCCTACCGGAATAAGCTTCTATTAAATTTCCACATTGCTTACGGTAGTTGTACTTATCTTCGTTAAATTTATTGCGTTTGTAGCATTTTCTGAGTCGCTTCTGGACATTTTTTACTTATCGCGGATTCGTTGCTAATCAACATACTTTATATGCTAATTTAGGGAAGAGTTATGTCTGCACAGCCGTATTCTTTAAGAAATTTATTTTATTTGTTACTGTCATTTCAAGTGATTGGCTGCTGTTTGACTTCCCCGGTGCGGCTGCGCTTGATGCGCATGTTGACAAGGTGTCTACCTGTCTATTACCCACTACCTCGTCCATACAGGTCGTTGCTGGAGGGGACGGGGTGCACGGTCCTTGCGGCCGTGTTAGGATCAAAGAGTGGTTCCATGCACTCAGTGTGGAGTGGACTACGGTCCAGCCACCGCCTTGGGTGCGCTTGGTTCCCCAAATACAGGGTGCTTGTGTTTGCCTGTGAAGGAGTGTGGGCCGGCTCCGTTGATGAAACGTGGCTCCCATCCACATGCCTCCTGGTCTTATTCCTTTGGGTTTACACTGGATATGGGGTGTGTGGTTGGAGCTGTGAGTGGTGCAGCGCAAGTCACTCATGGTCCCTCTGTAGGCGCAGGCTTTCTGTGGCTTGCCACAGTGACAGGCAAATCCGAAACCGGAGGCCGCCAACCATATATATATATATATATATATATATATATATATATATATATATATATATATATATATATATATATATATATATATATATATATATATATGGGGCCACATTAAGCTTGTTTCATGCCCAGTAATGCCGTTTCCACATTGTCTCTCTGGCCTTTGCGATTGCGGTCAGCTCTGTTCGCTCAAAGATTTGTTTAATATTGATTAACTAGTACCAAACCGTTAATACACAGTGAAACGAATTTGTACACTTTGATCGTTCTACCTCAGCTTAGCTAAGTCTTGAATTATCGCGAAATAAGACATTTACTTATTTGACTATGACACCGTCGTGAAAATCATGTAGCATCGAATGAAGCTAAGGGTTCCCGGAAGTTGATTCATCATGTATGCCGGTCAGAGAATGCCTCACCCGATCCAGGAAAGCTGCGAATGTCTATTTAAATAAATAAATAACTCAGTAGGTATATTTATTCTTGAGAAGTTCGAGGCACACCTCTCCAGGCATGTTCAACACTCGTCATGGTCTTCGATAACTGCCCTCTTGTATGGTCTGTGACCAACTGGACTTAATTTTGACAGTACCAGCGGTCCTAGTGCCAATTCGCGCAGCCGCAGTCAGTAGGCACCCACGTGGCTCATCAATGGGTTCTCGACCAATCGGTGAAGTATCACATACGGCCTGTGATTGGCTAATTACAACGCGCCAAAGCGAATCACGGCTTTGTGGGTGAACTAAAAAAGCGGATAAGATGTGAGGTGTATCTTGACGCCGACCCAGTTTGTTCTTTTTCACTCGGCACTAAGGATCGTTAAAGCCTTACCCGTCCTTCGTCCTAATTAAAGTGATTATAGAGTGATATCTGTGACCAAGGATGCAAGTACAACCGCCGGTGTATCAAGGGCTCGAGGCGAACGACGACTTGGCCGCTGTTCGGCGCCGTCCGTTAAAGTCAAAACTCAGTCGTCTTGGTCATATTGTGAGCATGTACATTCCTTCGGTGTCCTCTTCAGACCGCAAAGAAGACAAGGAATCAGGGGAACACACCGAGTTGTTGTCCACAAACTCCGTGACCCGCAGTGAATTTCGAACAAGCGAATACGATCAACTGTATGAGTTCAAACTGTTGTACTCCGGGGAGAACCTGGTGAAAACTATCGTAGAATGTATCGGAACGCCGCTACTCGCTTCCACCGGTCAAGCTAGGCATATTACGACGATCGCAGCCGACCAACATACTATTTATGTAGGCCTGGAGGAGCTCCCTTACATATTCCTCCTGAAAGCACAGAATGACGACCACAACCAGTATGCGATTCACCCTGAGCCCGGCTCGGAATCCAGTCCGATTAAAGGTTACATACAGTTGCATGTACCGAGGGTAGGCGATCTGGTTCCACAAGAACTTAGTGTGTACTCTCCTTCACCTGAATCCACCGTGATGTACATTGTTGGCTGGGTCCGGGTCATGAAAGATAAACAGACGTATTCCATTGACAAACGTTGGCTTTTGGCTAAGTTTTCTCTCACTGGGCAGCATCTATCTCGGACTCCACTGCACCCGTACCAGCGCTACTCCGGCCTCTCTGTTGATACTATCGATGGACGGCTACTCCTTACGTGTCCGAATCTCGGTGAACCACAGTCCAACCTTTGTTCGGATAACACAGTCATTGGCCAAGTGTGTAAGCTTACACCAAATTTCGACCGCCGTGTGTTCTCCGTAACCATGGGTAACGAGACCGCGGTCTATCGACCAGATTTCATAGCTCAAGAGTCTGCAGGTCACTGCTGCTGGGCCTCGGTGGAACGATCGGCACGAACTCAAACAGCCACACCTCCAGATGGAAAACCAAAATTATCTCGCCGTTTGTTTGCTTTTCCTGGACGTCAGCGTGTTGGCGGCGAAAAGATTAGCCCTCGCGTCTGGCTACATGTGGTATCGTGGGATTTTGCGGAACTTAATCCGGGCCGCATCGTAGCATTCGATGCGGCGCACTTGCTGGTAATTGACGCGACTACTGGCAGTCTGTCCTACATTACTTGGGCCGACGAAGACGATAAACCTGTTCTGCATCGCATTACACGCCCCGGTTCGAACCCGATTCGTCTTATTTGTTCGAATTACCACGCAACCTCTACCGGGGATGGAATAAATCACAGTCCTATCGCATATTTTGTCTCGGGTGACAGCATCTTCTCTTTTGTGTTCCGACTCGATTCCGCTTCCGCATAATCAAACAGCTGGAGGATATGCTTTATGATGTAAAAATGGTCTTCCCCTCCCCCCTTCCAAACACATCAGATGACACTGTATCCGTAGCGTTGTGGATTTGCATCTCGGAATTTTACTTATATAAAAGTTCCAGACTAATCTTCAACAAATAGTCAGATGACGAACAACGGTGAGTGCTTTGTGACGTTCTGAATGGGAGAGATTATTGATCAGTTTTAACTGTCATGTGGCCGTTATAACTAATGGCATCCTCAATGGACTCTGATTGAGATTTGCTCCAGTGTGTTCCCACCATCACATTCATTGCATAAGCTGATAGATTCTGCTAGTCTTTGATTGCCGCAATCGATAACAGTAAATAAAGTTATGGCACTTTTCCGGACGATGCGAGCTGTTACTTAGCAAAGACAGATCAACTAGTAATGTATTTACCTTATCATATTGTTAGCTAAATACATAAGCACAAAGTTTGTGTTTGCATGAGTGACATAAAGTTGTCCAAATTCTTAGATTGCTTTCTAGGCTGGCGATGTGCTACTGTTCTTCTCAAATGCAAATAGATTTTCAGACAGGGAAGGCGTGTACCGAAAAGATCTGTGAGCCAAAAGTGCGATATGCGGGTGTTCACTTAACCTGGATACATGTGAGTAGTCGTAATTATTGGCTAGCGCCATAGGTAATTTTCGAGAGCGTTATCCAGGGGTCGTAACGTCTCAAACACAGCAACAACCCTTCGAACAGTCAACTATGTACGAGTCGCAAGCTTGAACTTATGCAGTGTACAGTAGATTCTGAAATATCTTGGTTGTCGATCCCAGATATTGAAGATGTGGATTAAGAAACATGTTCTCTGATTTTCGTGACGAATTTCGGAATTGTGAGTTTTGATCCTTCTGTTACTTGTTAGATATCTAGTTTTCAAAGACATGTGAACAGACGGGTATCAGCGATGTGTGCATGGTGGCTTCCGCTAAGCAAAGATCCAATGATATATAAATAACGACAAATGTATTCGCTGGTTTCCATGACCTTGCAAACGTGAAACTCACACTGTTCAGCAAATTTAAAGGTAGCAGAACATCGCTGAGCTCAAGTCACGAACTGTCCTGCATTGCGAGATATACGTGCCTTGCAATAATAAAGTGTTTGGTGGCACTTGGCATTTGTACTCTAGATTACACTTGTTCACTACAAATGACATCTGCCACAGATGAAAACGAGATGATAGATCATCATGGATGAGAAGCATGGCTTCCTTGATATTTGCACTTCTTTGTGAATGACATCAGCAAACAGAACAGGGGCACCTTACCTTATTCAATGAAATGCATCGTTTACATAGAGACTGAGTGGAACCCAGTGTTGGTGGATAAACATTTTAGCACATGACGAACCTGGAGCGACTCAACGAACCCTCCGTTGCTTAGCAACTTTATGAGAAAACTAATCCAAAATGTTTAGTTTGCCATGTGGGCAACGAATGTATGAACTTCGTCTGCTTTCGGATGTCTGAAGCTGTTTACAAGAAGTGGCTGTATACGCGCCCACTGTAAATTCGGTTTCGCATGATTCAATTACACCATCGGCACATCAATCAGTCGTTTCGTCAAAGTCGAACCGGTGGTCAGATACGCAAAATAGGAGGTCGTAACAAACTTCCCTAATTGTTCAAAAGGACGCGAGTACATGATGGAATTAAATAATCCAAAATAATTTAGGTATCACATTAAAAGTCGCAGGTGCAATGTACGAACCACATTTGATTTGGCAGTGGATTCCAGATTGGGGCCGAGTACTCCGGTTTTGAGGCTTGTTAAATGACACACATGTTCCGGAAACGCAGTACTTAGCTTTACCTGCCAGTAAAGCCCTTGACCGTCCGTCCGCAATTTAGATTTGCCCATTATTGATCGAGATTATTGGTCTCTACCAATGCACACATCTATGTGATGAAGTCAATAGAGAGCACACGTGAATCAATTAGGGCGGTAAGCTACCAGGAGTCGTTCAAATGCACACATCTCTGAGAACATTGTGTTCGGGCGTGGGGCCCATCAGCTATGACAGATGGATCGTACCTGGCGCCATTTATTGAGCTGGGTATTTCCTTATCCTAGCTATATGGATCTAGAATCTTTACCGTTTCTCTAAGTATTTGCGATACAGCAGGTTCCGCTTTTGTGTTAGAATCCCTGGTTATACAGTATGGCAAAAAACACCACAGTATACAACCGTCGTAGCCCCAGCGCCAGCGCCTGCTTCACACGCATTTTTAGAGTTAAAAACTCATAAAAATGGCTCCGGGCGACAGAACTGAGCAGCTCTGCTTAACTCAGCGTTGAGATTACAAGTACCCACAGTGTTTTGGTAAAAATTCGTCGCAGCCAGACTGACACAGTCACCACGCATACAGGAAAGCGCTAGACGGCCGTTTCATCCTATTAGGACTTGTCAGTCGCACGCACCCTCCGAATCCTGCCGGACTCAAACGCACGAGCTTATCCTTACGAACCAGCGACTATTGCCACTGAGTCCTGGCTGACGGCAGCGGACCGCCATGACTGAGATCTAACTGTGATATAGCGCGGCTCATCCTCCACCGTCATGCATGTTATGAACTTGCAGAGGACAGGAATGGCCCCCCGGGCAACGACTTCATTTTCAAGCCGCCACCAATCCATGTGGCGCTTCCCTGGATTTATGATGACCATCTGATTGCGTCTAGCTGCGAGGAAACTTCACCAAAACCCAATAAAGCCTCTTAATGCTCATTAATGCGCAGTGTGTTTTGATGGTGACACACAATCCCTATTGGGACACGGGTTTACTCTGCAGTAGACCTCTGTCATTCCGATCACTGTTGCAGTATCAGAAATGGGGGGGGAGTTTAGTTAACCTTAGTTTAAAGTGGGCACTAAAGCAAGTACTTGGCAAGTCTCGTAGGATGACCAAAAGGAGGATTACAAAGCCAAAGGTAAAAAGATCACGGGAAACTGGGGAAATTTGGATTTAAGATAACCAACTAAGCTATCCACATAACTCTAGATGCAGTTTTCTCACCGCTATGTTACAAAATACTCGTGAGCACATCGTTTGCTTCTCGTTACCTTGTCTTCCTATTGAAACGGAATGCAAGTGGGATAGCGTGTCGTCAATGTGTCTTTCGATAACTTTAATGTAAAGGGAATATGACGTATGGAAGAGCGTTCCATGTTCGGGACACACGAATGGAGCAAGAGATTTTGTCGGCAGTCGGTTCGACTGTAGTGCATGGCAAGTTTGAGCTGGTGACGTGTAAGATCAGTATTATGGCTGAGTTCCAGCAGACCGTGACAGACGTGATTGAGGTATGTCAGTAATATATGCACTATGCTTAGGTCTGGCAGACGCCGATGCTCCCGATGTAAATATTAAGGGCATGTAGTCTGAGCTGACAAGAGCAAGTGAAACAAGCCCTAACCATTTTGGTCGCGCTACATTGTGGAGCTGCAAGTGCGTAAATATCAACTTTGTGGCAAGAATGCTGAGTTTGGATGACACATTTCACATGAGGATTCATGAAAGCGATCAGCCTCTTCTCTATTCCCTTCTGGTCTATTTCGAGCAGTCGAGATCATCTTGCACAATTACTCGGAGATCGCCTTCCTCGAAAGCAGGCTGCAACTGCTGTATCCCAAGCCGATATTTGTGGGAACGCTGATGGGGTATGCTCAAAACGTGGTCACGTTGAAGTGGAGCCAGTTTTCAGATGACCAAGTATAGGCCCTATCTAGATCGCTCTACAATGCTGTGTGTTCGTCCACCGTCTTGATGTTATGTCAGATCTTGACATCGGATGTAAATAGTAGAAAGTCAGACTAAAGTACACTAGCGAGGTTGTGTAGTAAAGCCAGCAATACATATGGTTCTAATAGAGATCCCTGGGGTACACCACACTGGATTTCAGTTGGGTCGGAAATGGCGCTGCGAACTTCGCGTTTAGGTGATGTCGAATGCGGAAGTTGGATATCCAACCTAGGACTTGGTCACCGATTCCACAGCTGTGAACCTTGAGAAGGAGGATACCGTGATTCGGACCGTCAAACGCTTTTGAGAATTTCAGTTTAACGACGTCGACTATTCTGGTATCGATAGATTCTTTACAGCTTGCTCGCGCTAGTAGAATAGTTGTAGTGCATTACAGATTTCGGCAGAACCCATGCTACTGTGACACTATGATGTTCTTCTTAAGGCGTCCCATGAGCTCTTCTGCGATAACACCTTTCACAATTGGATGTCCCTCAGGAGGACAGTGATTGGACAGTGGTTCAAGGGCTCCGCACCATCGTCACTTTGATAAAAAGAAGTGATTGTTTCACATTTCCAGACTGTGGGGACCTGTATTTCATCAAGCAATCGTTGAAAGTACCGAGCCAGTAATCTTCATAGTGGCTATATGGAATATCTTCAATCTGATGTCGTTCATGCCAGGAGAGCTGTACACACACAATGATAGGAGTCTTCGACACATTCGCTACCGTGAAGGATACATGGGTTAAACTTAAGGGCAGTGTTAACCGTGTTCCAGGTGAGTGAGGTGAATATTCAGTCTGCAAAGTACGGGTGAACTGTTGCCGAACCGCGTCGGCCGATTGCTGTATAGCTAGCGTCGGACCACCTGTTGCAATTTGAACTAGGATTCCGCGCTACACTCCACGGAGCTTGCTAAATTGCCTGTAAAGCATTTTAGGATTAGTACTGGATTTCGGTACAGCGCCCTTCCACACGCAGATGCTGCTCTTAAACTCACCACTGACTTCTTAGCCGCTGTTCCAAAAATCGTCCGCGGAACTCACTGGCCTAGTGATCAAGGTGTCAGCAGTCAATCACTCTGTTTGTGGTTTCACACATAACTTGGGGTATCCATACCTGATGAGTTCAACCAGAGATGAAATCGGTCGAGGGATGAAATGTCGTGAACCAGCAACGCCGAAATATCCTCAGCTCAGCTTAATTTTGCAAAGAAACCCTGTAAATCAGACGGCCTGCGTCGAATTCATCTGTGACCTAGTAGAACGCTCTAAATTCGGTATTCGATGAAATGTTGGCTGACCTACGTCAAAATTAGATGAACTAGCACCATGTGATTTATTCATCGTTTAGTGAGTACCGCATACCACTGAAGCTTATTCTTCCCATAAGACCTACTAACCGTTAAACAGCGAAGTTGATGGATTTCGCTAGCTTAACAAGCAAATATGAATTCTTCTTCAGAGGGATCTGCTAACTAAAGCGTATGCACCCGAAGTACGAACTTCGGTTTTTCTGATTATGTTGATCTCTATGGCTGGTTTTCTCATTGTACTCTTCACTTGTTAGCCACTTAATTACACTTTTGATGGTGGTTAGGATAACAATTCACACGTTGTACCTCCTTGAGTTTAGCTGCTAGTTACTTTGGAATGGCCACATGCAACCCCACAACGCCGGCCACGAGCTATACTGTATCGT